TGCCGAAATCCGCCCCCGAGGGTTCTGCGCCCCGGGCGGAGGATGCGGCACTTTACACCTGCAGGCGTCTTCCTCCAGCCGCCTGCGCTTCCTTTCCCCAGCCCCATTTAGCAGCCGCCTCCACGCTGCTGCAGGGAGCTCGCCTTCAGCCCGTTAACGTCCGACGCCTGCTGCCCCTCGGCCTCAGCTGGGCACCAGCGAGTCCCGTGTCCTCTGCCGGGACACCTGAGCGCCAGCACCCTCCCGGTGAGCCCCAGCCGGGCAGGATGAAACCCCAGCTCTCAGCCCGTTCATGGCTTCAACATCTGTCTGCTGAACTCTCCAAAGACTCCAGTTTAGACTCAATAGATCAGAAATCCTGAAGAACTTTGGATGTCCGAAATATTTATTTTGTTTCCTCTTAACTGGCAATACCAGCATCTGCAAAAAAAAAACAACAAACCCCAACCCTCTAAACACAAGACAGGAACTCCAAAGCTAACATTCTTCCTTTAAGCTTTGCAATAGATACATAAAATACAAATTTCAAACAGCTGCAAAAATAGTGTCTTTGGAAGAAAATAGAGTTTCTACAACAGATACAAGAAAATAGGCTTCTTCAATGCAACCCAGAGCCTTTGCAACAGAACACAAAAATCAAATACTTTTGTTGTCAGGAGGCTTTACAATCAACATTCCTGTGTTATCGCTTCACCTTCTAAGGCATCGCGTTGGGATAGCGCCGCAGGACGCAGCAGCGCTTCAGACTCCTGCCCAGCTGCGGTCACAGCTCCGTCCTCAAAGTCTGGCCCCCAGCGAGGCAGAGGGGTCCCGGCCCCCCGCTTCCACCCGTCCCACCCCAGGGCTCCAGCCCCAGCCAGGCTGCCCGCGCTCACGCTGGAAAGCAGCAGTAGTTTCTCTACAGCAGCAACAACCCCCCCTCGAGCAGGGGCCTTTGTGCACCCCCAGTTTTCACTTCCACCCCTGCCTCTTCCTGCAGCCAAGGCACCTGGAAGGCCCCTGTCCACGCACAGGGAATGCGGCAGGCAGCTCACGCCTCAATGCCTCCTTCACCCTCAGTCACACAAGCTTCCCACAGCACAGACCTGTGGAAGCCTGCGGTTAGTCACCTGCACTCTCCCCTCTCAGCACAGCACTCTTAAAGCTCCAGGCTTGTTTCGAGAGGTACAGGTGTCCAGGGAAGGCACGGTCAGGGATCCACTGCTCTCCAGCCCCCTCCGTGCTCTGAGGGAGATGAGCTGTCTCTTTACAGCGCAGACACACAACATTTTCTGCTCTCATACATCCCACAGGCCCCTTCTCCCCACTTCCCACTCCCCAGGGTTCAGGAATCCCAGACAGCCACAGGGGTGAGGGGTGCTAAGGAAGCCCCACCTGAATTCTCCCAGCTTAACCTTGTTCACAGAGCCACGGAGCATGAGTTTGCCTCTGCTCCCCGCAGCAGTGCCCGCCTGCTCTTCACCAGCAAAACAATCACACAGGAAACAAAGACAAATCAACACAGGAAAGTGCTTTGAACAGGGGAGGCTCAGAGAAACAAGCCTCTCCAGCAGCGAGGAGTCCCGTGGCACACTGTACTTCACAGTTTCTGTCACCCTCAGAAGAAGCCGGTCGTGGTTCTCAATCCCAGGGCTGCCTCTCGGCTGTCACGTCCCACCCTTCAAGGCACTAGGCTCCACGGGCTGGCAGAGACGCACCGAGGAGCCAGAGCTGCTATGGCTGGCTAGCTTTCCCAAAGGCGTCACACCATGAGAGAGCTGTGGAAGACAACGCTCTCCTCTGGCTGGCCGCGCTTCCAGTGTTCGTAATTCAGTGAAGGAGACTTGGACACCTCGCTGAAGCCATCTACTGCAGCGTCTTTCCGCACCCCAAGGAACGGGGCGGGGGCTGTGGGCTGGCAGGATGTAAACGTGCCCGTGCCAGGGCTGGAAGAAGCTGGGAAACCCCTGAAGAGGAAGCCCACATTTGGGAAGAGGGGCTTCACCAGGCTGACGGGGCAGAAGGCAGAACCGGTGGGGTTGAAGTGCACTTTGTTCTTATCTGGGCAGGAAGGCTGAAAAGGCTGATCAGGGCTGGGGGAGCTGAAGGAGAGAGACATGATGAGGAACATGATTAGTGGACATGATTAGGAACAGACACTCCCAAGGGCACCGAGCAGCCACAGGGAAAACACCTGGAGTTGTGCACTCTTCCAAGAGCCTGACTAAAAGCTGACCTGCCTCTGTGAGCTGGATCGCTCTTCAGGTACAGAGCAGCATGAAGAGCCGTTTCGTTTTGAAAGCACATTTATTTATAGGAGAACCACCTCTTCTTCTCAAGAGGCTCTGCTGGCCAAGAAATACCTACTGCCTGGGAAGGGCAAGGAATCACAAGATCCTTCCCGAGCGTGTCTGAAGGTTTGCAGTTCAGCTTTCAGCTCTTCTCACCAGGGGCTGAGCAGCCACATTCTGGTTGGGAGTTTTTCCTAGAGGCTGCTCCCTATTTTTAGAACAGGGTCAGGGTGGCAATTGCAGCAACAGAAGCTTCAGCTGCCCCCACCCCAGCACCCTCCCACAGGACCAACCTCCCGTCAGTTCTCTTCTGCCAACAACTCCTCATACTTACAAAGCTTCTTCAAAGGCCCGGACCTTCTCACATCCCTCGGGAGGTTCCCGTTTAAACATGTAGCTGTGGTTGGGTCGAGGAGAAGAAGCAAAGGCCAGGACTGGCGAAGGGCTGCCCTCCTCTAGCAGGGAAAAGACATTTTTTGAGAAATTTTTAAAAGAATCCAACAGCACCCTAACTCACCACGAGACATGCTCTTCTAGACCCTGGGGCTGCAGGTTACAATACCCCAAAGCCACAGCATTTTACCTGTGTAGTTCCCAGCTCACATCCTCCATCTAGTACTGGAAGCCACCCAGCTGGAGGGCAATTACTGGAGCTTTACAAGTCCACTACAGTTTAGTCACATCGACCAAGACTCTCTCTCCCATCTCAGCTGCCGTTTCCAACCCAGCACGCAGACAAGGAGGAGCCATCGCACCAAGGTTTTCATAGCCCTGGCCCCCTTTGTCTCCCCTGACCTCCCAGCCCCTCTGCTTTCAGTGTTTACCTTTCTCCTTTGGATCCGGCTGCACCTCGTCTGCTGCAGAGGAGGGCTCTTCTGCTGCCAGCCTCACCGGGGTGTGTGGAGAAAGGTGGAGAGGCACGGAAGGGGAAGGAGAAAGAGAGAGGCTGGGA